CCCCAGGGGGGTCATTGATTTTCCCTATATGCATATAGTAAAAACTTAAAAAATCTTCTTTTAAAGAACTCAAAGAGCTAGAGCTAAGATATTTAGCATGAAACATGTTCTAATGGGTGTCTACCAAGTTTGTTCAAATAAAAGCCCTGGGGTCAAAATTGGCCCCGCTCCGCATTATATGTGTGTAGTAAAAACTAAACAACATGAAACATCTTCTAATGGGTGTCTTCCAAGTTTGTTCAAATAAAGCCCTAGGGTTTAAACTGGCCCGGCTGCGGGGGCCACTATACAGGTGAGCGACCTCAGGGCCATCATGGCCCTCTTGTTAAGAATTGGCAAGTCATTTAGGTGAGAAAATTAAGTGATTTAAGAACTAAGCAAGTTTACTCTGCTCGGAAATGTCCTTGTTAATGTATAATTATTACTGTATGATATATATTTTTATTTCAGATCTTGTGATTGGAAGATTAGATTAAATTTGTGTAAATAATTCTAAGTTATAGAAATGTACGGTAAAGGAAAGTGCCGGAAAACATTAACTTCAGTTTTATATACAGAAGACTGATTGAAAATTATCTGTTATACAATATATTTTTGTTTGTGAATTCTATGGAGTATGAAATATGTGTTTTTCAAGTCAGAAGAGTTTTTCGGGAAAAGACTTGTGTTATACATGAGTTAACTGTGATATGTGACAAGATAAATTTGATATAACTTAAAGATAGATGTCTGGATGTCTGAATGTCAGGCTAATTTTTAATATGTGTTTGTAAATTGGTTTTTATGATTTTATTTACAACTTTTACTGTATTTTTTTTCTCTTAACAAATTCTATAAGTGGCCAGTTTTTAAGATATTATTTAGCCATAAAAAATAAAATGTAATAGATAACTTTATTTTCTCAATCAACATTTTGTAGCGGAATAATTTTTCCACAATATGGCTGAAATTGTACATAGATGAACATTATACATGTATTAAACTGATATGAAGTTTTGTCGTCTAATGATATTTGAGTATGTGTACTTAGTGTAAATAAGGGTTTAGGTCTTAGCTGATTGACTTTGATTAGTTAATTTCAATTAGTATTTTTTTTTTAAAATTTAGGTATTTTGAAGTGTTATTTTAAGAAAATGACCAGTTTTTAATGCCAGTGTGATAAAGGTACATGCATGTTTCACGGTTATAAATACAATGTAGGTATTTTATCATTCAAGGCTGATAAAAAAAATCAAAGCTGAATTGTGATTTAAAAGAAAATAGTCATTAGTGTAAGAACAATATATATTTTTTTAAATTTTGAATGAATGAATTAAATGAGAATAATTCTTTTATTTAAAAGCATGTCCTACATGTAATTTACCTCTTCTTTTTGTTTGCTTTGACTTTATGATGAAAATGAAAAAAAACAACAAACAAACTGGCAGACACAGTCAGTTCACAATATCTTTTGGTTTACATGTATAGGCAACCTATTATATGGCACATGAATTTTGCCTTTCAAATTAAACAAGTTTTAAACTCTATTTTACATGTATATATATTTAAAAAGAGATATATGTATGTGTGTGTGCGCGTGCACATATGTGTGTGGTGAGGTCTAGAATTTCTGTTATACCAAATATTCAGCTTTTTTTTAATGAAATACACTATTGATTATTGAAAGTAAAATTATTCTGTTTTAATGAAATTTTATGCTTTTACAAAAGATTATTTACAAAAGATTATTTTGAAATTATTGTATTAGTTGTCTGAACTCCCCTTTATCATTATATGAGTTTGATAAATCCGTCTCAGCTATCTAGGGCAAGTACTTGACCCATGAACCATGTTCTGAAGTGTAAGTAAGCCATACATTTATTTTCACTATGGTTTTGTTGACATTAATGTTCTTTGTCAATTGTTTCTAATGAATTGTGTGGGAGAAGAATCATTTGTGCAGAAATTGGTTAAGAGAGTAGTAATGAATACTCTAAATTGTTATGCAACTGCTGGTCAGTATATGACTGAAATACTTTTAAGCTGGTAATATACGTAACAGAATTAATAAAATTAGAAAAGTTCCATCTTTTTTTATAATGGAAAATCAACTTTCTTTTGTTGGCTTCAGGTATGTTTGTTTCTTGGCATATAAATGTGTTGTTGGGGAAGAAACAACACTGTAACATATGTCATCTGTGACTATTTAACTTGATGGGCATAGGTCCCACAACTCCTAAGTTACCTATTTACAAAGTTATACCCCTTTTCTTTCTGTCAAGCATGTCAAAGGTCAAGCGTGCTGTGCTGTCTTCCAACAGATTTTGTTAATTATGAATATTTAGTTGTAATATTAACTTCCAAAAGTGAAAAAATACTTTCAGGGGAAAATAAAACTAATTAAGTTTTCTAAGGATCTACAATTTTTATGTGAAGATTATTTTTCTTGTGTACAATGTATATAAACCAAGATGTGCTCAATTTGAGCTGTTGTTTAAATAAATAAACTTGTTGAACTTAAACATTTGTTAATTGTTTATTTTGTTTATCTATTATTTTTAGCTTTACCTTTTTCTTTCAAAGAAAAAAAAATAGAGGTATAGTTAACAGTCATGGCAGCATTGACATTGCCGTCTGCAAACTTTGACAAAACTTTTTAAGTTCTCAGTGTATTGTTTTCATACTTGGCTACAACAACCCTTAGGACAAGACAGTCAAGTTGACTAGACCAAACCTGTCTTTTATATTCATAAATGACCTTGACCTTAAAGGTCAAAAATTTAAATTTTGCTTGATTTTTGCTATAATTGGCACTTCAATATTTTTGAATGGATTGTCTTCAAAACTTGAACACAACACTATTTTAGGATAGACCTTTAAGTTAACCAGACATACATTGACCATCACTCATAAATGACCTTGACCTTGAAAGTCAAATTACTGATTTTTTGTGTGCTGTAAATGGCTATTACTTTGTTCTTAATGAGTGGATTGACTTTTATAAATCCCAGACTCAAAATGACCTTGACTCATTTATGACCGTGACCTTGAAGGTTAAATTATTGAATTTTCACTGATTTTTGCTATAATTGACAGTAACTTCGTAATTAATGAATTGATTATTTCCATACTTAAACAAAACAAGATCTTTTTAAATGGTTGAACTGACCTTGACTTTGAGCTTTAAATGACATTGACCCTAAGTTCATTATGTAGGTGGACAAAGCTAGGCTTGCTACCAAACAAAATTATGTAAAGAATTAGATAAAACCTTGACCTTTACCGCCAAGGTCAAATTTACATGTACTTACTGTAACTTGGTAATCAATCAATTGATTATCTTCATAGTTTGAACAAAACAAAAGTTGGATAAAGTAAGCTTACTTGTTGTACTTGAATTGGTGCCCTCTTATGGATGCTCATTGTGACGTCATAAACTTTCTTAAATCTAAATATTTTCAGGCACATCTCAAGTGGAACATGAGATGAACGCAACTGTTCATTTTATGTTTACTTTATACAATGTTTTAAAAAGTTTCATTATGTCTAAAACTGCGTAAAAGTAAGCTCAACTAACAATATACTGACAAAAACTTACCAAAGTGCTGAAATACTAAAAGGCTCTCATATGTTGTCTAGTCAGTAGGCTTATCATTGAACACTGACGTTAAAGTGATCGTACATGGAACGCCTTTACCAAACAAAGGTATTCAAAATGGAATACGCAATGTTCCAAAATAGAACAATTATGAATGTGTCCGGTGTTATCTTCATTTACAATTTAGAACGGGCGGATCGAACTTGTGACCCGTCCTTACCGAGTACTTGCCGTTTTAACCAAAATAAATTATATTTTCATAAATTTCAACGCACACTTATCAAACAAACCATTTAAATTTAAAAACGTAGTTGTGCTACTCGAAAAAAAAAAAACCACACAAATATATTCCTATCAGTAATAATGCGCATTAACTTATTGAAGATTGTGATAATGTACCAAAATTCTGGATATGAAAGGTTCAAACCATTCTGGAGTACAACGTGTTGCACAGCATTGTATGATATAGGTTTCACAGATAAACGTCGTGAAACTGGCCGGAGTCACTATCACAGCAACGCTACATATATACATACATGTATACCAGCGGGAACAATTCCAAAAGCAATAGATTTAAAGAGCTCCCTAGATCTTATTTATATCTCATACAATTATTCCCAGCTATAATTTTGTTTTTCTGTTCTAATTAAAATGAGATTACTATGGTGGCTGATTTGTTACACGTTTGCGCGTTGTGTTGCGTCGCTAGCGACAACACAACGCATATCGTTCTTGCCTTTCGTCTTATCGCCAAACTGCGCGTTATCGCGCGGCGCGTTGGCGTCATGGCTCCATGTCGCTTGGCTTATATCAAGGGGTTGGCTTCTTATCTGCTGTCGCATGGCTCGTCAAAGCGCCAATAAGCCAATTCTTTCATTTGAACCAAGCGACAATGTGTCATCGCGACAACACGCCGCAAGACAACGCACCATATGGCGTATTTCGCTAGCGGCAGGACGACAAACGCGCTGTTTGGCGCTTTGTCGTGTTGTCGCTAGCGACAATGCGACGCGCTAAAGTGTAACACATCGGCCACCATAGATGACGATTCCTTATGTTATCGCACTAATGTGAATTGTGAAAGTCGAAAGAGAATAGGACAACCCTATCAGTCGAACCCAAAATTCCTTCACTAATACTCCCTCAAGATAAAAACATATGACTACTGTTTAATACGTTATATTTGGTTATAGTTGAATTTCAAATTTAAGTGAGGCATTGCATGTTCTGGAGATACATCGTCGTCGTAAGTATTTATTCTTAACAACAGAAAGAAAACACAAGACATACAATAATAGTGACCCTCATCTCGTCAGTGTTAAAATCACGCGATAGCAACCGACATGAAGTTGAAAATAGACGAAATATACTTTTGCTTTTATTTTCTGTATTTTTTTTATATTATATTAGTTCCGTAACGACTCAATATCTTTCAGATATATTTTTAACAAGCTCCTTTGTGTCTTTTCACATCTTAAAAAGTGTCAAAATATTAATGTACGGAAAGAAAATAGTTCGTCAAATTTACATATAAAAGGAAGTTGATGCTACAAAAACTCTTAAACAAATGTGTCACGTGACCGTTGAAAACAAAACTATTAGTGTATACATATAGATATGTACATCGTTTTCTGTATAATACAAGACACACGACCAAAATCAAAATGGCTACTATGGAAAGATTTGTGTTTGTTGTGGGGATAATACTTCTTGCAGGTGTTCGCCTTTGTACGGCACAGGAGCCAAATTGCGGATCAAACTTTGGTTGTAATTATGAAATTCTCCAAAAGATATTACTGTTGGAACAAGAGATCACTGATCTTAAAATAGACAACAGACGACAACAAAAAATTATCGATAGAATGGACGTAGACGGTACGTAGTGATTTAAATTATCGTTAATTGTTATTATATACATTTTTTATTATTTAAGATAAAAATTATGTAGATTGTATACATAATAAATTGTCAGCTGAAATATGATAATAAACATAATTGCAATGACGTACTTGTTTAAACACATTTTTTTTATAATATACAAACAAAATTAACCAGAACTAGATATTGATATTGTATAGTACTTAATTATAGCTTTTAAACATTTTCAAAATGAAAAATTTTCGAATTAAATACAACATGCAATTGGTTCTAAATGAGTTAAAGGGATTCCGCCGGGTTTGGTTTTTTACATGACTGGACTGCTGGGAATAATTTTTCGAGCTTAATGTTCCATTCGATGTAGGTTGCACCCCTTAATTATCACTCACTCAAATCCGGACTAAAATGGCAGAATTTTCGGTTTTCTGTTCCCAAGCTAATCTATGTAAGAAATTCAAATTTTATGATTTTAGATGGAGTTCCTTTTAATTTTGCAATTTTTAACATTATTATGGTAAACGTTCCTTTCCGCTACATAGCGATATAAAATATCAGATCAGTCAACAGTTCTCTGCATGGAATGACATGAAATGACAATATAATCATCTGTATAGGTCCTATGCTGAAATGACAATATAATTATCTGTATAGGTCCTATGCTGGGTATGGCAATTCAACATTTTATCAATAAGCGGTAACAACTGAGTAACAAGATATGACATTTGAACAGCAAACCAAGCAACAGTCCTCTCGACTGTCTGGCAATTTTACATCAAATCAATAAACGGTCCCCTCTAGAAGATGAGTCAAAATGTTGCAATATAACAGCAATGAATATTGGACATCATATCAGTTAATACCTTTTTAAAAATATGGCAATTTAGTAGACATAATGACACAAAATCAGCTTTACAGTACATGTACATGTATGTGTTATTTATATTCAGATCGCAGATCTACTTATGTAAGATGGGGAAGAAACTTGTGCCCGGATGATGCCTCCTTGATATATAAAGGTAAATTAAATGTGTTTTATGATAGTATAGTTCAGGCATGTCATGTGACACTTTGATGTACAATAAACAAACGGCTACATTGGCAACATTACATTTAAAATTTTATTACTACAAAAACATGACATGTCTATTGCCACAATATTTACAAAAAATATTTACAAATGCAAATATGCGTCCAAGTAAGCTTGAAATGTATAAATTATAGGAAAATACAGGTCTACTATTATGCTGAAACTATCACGCTTTTATGTGGTGAAAATTTGGTAATAATATGTTAATTTAGGAAAATTTCTGCATTTTATATTTTGCAATTTGCATAAACAGTAAATTGTATGCGGGAAAATATCTTCTTTTTTTTGGTACAAACAAGCAATTTAACAAAGATGACGTATTTCGAAAACAACATTTTCAACAGATCGAGGACAAAATATGACTCTATATTTTGTCCCAGATCAAAGTCACATAAAACAATACAATATACAATACAATACAATAAATACAATACAATACAATACAATACAGATATTCTGTATGTGATAGTCACGGTCACAGGTGGCAGTATCAGTGTTTGGACACCCCACCCCTATCTGCCCCTGGACCCCTACTACAACCCTGAAAAAAAATTCAACACTCTAAGGCTTACTAAAAGGTACCAAATACAAAACCACCGATGAAATTATATTAAAAAAAAAAATTCCACTATCAAAATTATAGTTATAGAAAGGTGAAAAGCCTACTATAAGTTCATTTGCCAAACAATGTGGAACACGGGAAATCGTCGTTTCGGCGACTGAGGCGCATTCCGAAGGCATTTTGCTGCATCATTCATTTACATCAATAAAAAGAACTTGAATTCCACAGCTTACTTAATTCAAGTCTAACGAATATCAATATTATATCAATTTTTTCTATTTCACTGTAATTTTTTACTTGTCGTTGCCATTTTGGATTCTGATACCTACATGTGTTATACGCGATCTGATTGGACGTCCAATTTGGCTCGTCCAATCAGATCGCGTATTTCAACCCAGGTATCAGACTGCAAAATGGCTACGACAATTCAAAAAATACCGTGAAACAGAAAAAATCGGAATGATAGTGATATTCGTTGGACTTGAATTAGATAAGCTGTGGAATTCTAGTTCTTTTTATTGATGTTAATGAATGATGCAGCGAAATCCCGCCGGAATGCGCCTCAGTCGCCGAAACGACGATTTCCCGTGTTCCACATTGTTTGGCAAATAAACATATAGTAGGCTTTTCACCTTTCTATAACTATAATTTTGATAGTGGAAATTTTTTTTTTTATATAATTTCATCGGTGGTTTTGTATTTGGTACCTTTTAGTAAGCCATAGAGTGTTGAATTATTTTTTTTTCAGGGTTGTAGTAGGGGTCCAGGGGCAGATAGGGGTGGGGTGTCCAAACACTGATACTGCCACCTGTGGTCACGGTGGCATAATAAGTGAGACGTTCATATTTTATAGATTCTCTTATTTCTTTGGGTGTTTTTTCTTCATCAAGATAAAATGTTGAAGACATTGTGTTCTTATTTGGTTTTGGATTAATACTTTTTTAATCACTTTATAAGTCAAAACATAATGGTTATATGTATATATTTCATTTGCGCAGCTAACAAACATTGTTAATATAGCATTTAGTTATTTTTTCAAATATATCTTAGAAGAAAAAAAAGAATAACTAACTTATTGTATATTTTACTTTTCTACCAGGCTTTGTTGGAGGGAAATACTACAATGAAGCCGGAAGTGGAAGTGATTCCATATGTTTACCCGAAGACCCCACGTGGTCTAATTATACCGATGGTGACGCAAAATGTTGTCGCGGACGTATATACGGATCAGAATTTCATATCGAGGAACCAAATGGCATTTTCCCGTACGGAATTCATTCGCAAGACGCACCGTGTGCAGTTTGCGAGTCCAAAAAGTCTACAATATTAATGATTCCAGCACGTTCTAACTGTTATCCTGGTTGGAAACTTGAATATTCGGGGTATCTAATGGCTAACTACAAAGATCATGCAGGACCGCATAATCATATTTGTGTCGACAATCATCCTGAATTTATCTTAAATGGAGGTGCATATAATCTTCAACATATTTTGTATCTGATGGAAGCGCAATGTGGTTCATTACCATGCCCACCATATGTGCAAGGACGTGAGCTGGCATGTGTTGTTTGCTCAAAGTAATAAAAATATCAAGCTTGCATCACTGACATTTTGTAAGAAACGAGCAATCATTCTTGTATATTTTATGTAATTTTCAAGACAATATTACTGAATAAAGCAATATGACAAAGTTTCTCTTTTTTAGTTTTCCCAAAACCGACTATTATGTATGGCTATCTGTATTTAGCTCGGGTGCAGGTGTGTTCTGTCTATTAATTTGAAATAGGACTTCAAGAGCGATACCGTAGATTGCCGGTCGTGTACCCTCCGTACACACAGTCTCTAATACAGGCGTCACACTGTCCTGAATTTGGCATCAGATGGACACACGAATAAGGAAATGTTCAAATTCGGATCTGATCGTAATAACATCGTGCCATTCGTGAGGGCATCTTTTGCCATCGTATGATCCCCGGCTGAATATTACAAGCTCCGACAGCTACTTCGTGAGCGGTTCCAAAATGTTTGGCATGCCAAAAAATTGCCCGAAGACATAGCGAAGGTTCATTTTCGTGTTGAATTCGTATGTCAATTTTGCCCTTCGTAAGGTCGTCGTGAAGCCATCTTGTCAAATCGTGTATCTTCGTCTTTTCTTCGTGTGATCATCGGTGCAATCTGGCATTTTTAGCCTCAAGAAGACAATACGAAGTAAACACGAAGATTCCCGATAGTCTTAAAAACTTACTTAGGGAACACGACTACGTGAAGCCCCCGCAATACCGTCGTGTCACCATCGTTTTTGGTACGATGTCATCGAGATGGGACCACGATGAGGACGAAGAAGGCAATTTTTAGTGGCATAAGCGTTGCATGTTTATCATGGTGGACATATAAACGGCTAGACCATCTTCCTAATCTGTCTCTCTTGCACATCTCTACAGAGACATCAAAAGCTTCCATTATTTGCAATTCATTTACAATTAATTTCAGTTTATTTCCTGTAGAATTACATGCTTTGATGATGAGTCAACCGAGAAAAAGAAGGCAGCAGCATTGCTACTTTAAAGACACCTTAGAAAACATGATGAGGCCCACAGGCCAACAAGATCAACAAGGAAAGGCAGCGTTTAATGAACGCAACCCACACGACCCAGCAACAAGAACCAAGTGACACAAGAGGACCCCCAGAAAAACGGACAGGGCGCAAGTGTAGAGCACGGATAGGCTTATCACTTGAATGATACATAAGACGAAATAATGATAAACGACAAGGAAATCAAAGAAAACAAATAAATGATTGATTCATTAAATAAATAAAACTAGGGGCAAAAGGGATATACTTACCGTAGACGTGAAAACAATAAGGGACACCGACAAAAGTGTCACCAAAACAGTATGAAATAACAAAAACATACATCTGAGGAACAAAGAAGGGCGCCGCCTTGGACCGGTCAGCAGCATAAGTACTACTGGGGAGTTTAACCGGTAAATGGTACACCAAACCTCGCTCTTAGCCCACCATGTTCCTATAAACGAGACGGTGTAAATAAAATGAATGCCCGCCAAGTAAATTTATAACAGTTGTTACGGTTTCAAAAGTTAAAATAAGTAAAACACCGAAATGATCATGTAGATACATATAGAGGAATACCCATATGACCATAACAAAACTACTCAATATTTTAAAGAAAGACAGAGTAACAAAATAAATCACCTACAAGGGCCAGACGAAGCAAAGCAGAAGATGAACATAAAAGCAATTCAGTCCCAAAAGGCATGAAGAACTGTCAATCATAGAGTACCCCACTTGGTCCCTCAGATGTTATCAAAAAGACCAACTGTTAAAGT